TTTTTCGTGCCCTTGGGGTACATGACGTTATACCTTCTATAAGTAGGGTTATAAGGGGTTGTTTTTAACAGGGGCGTATATTTTGTATGTAGGCTAGGCGAGCGCCGTATACCGCACCAGAGATGGTAAATTCATCATAAATATGCTAACTCAATAATATAATCATGGATAATAATGGGAAACTAATTTTTCTGTCCTCTTTTATGAAATATTGTGACAGTTATTTTAAGATAGCACTGCACACCCCACAGCTAGTTGTATCATGCACAGTGCACACCCTGTGACAATAACCCACCATACGTCACAATGCTTTTGTGTCTTTCCCTTCACCTCGGAGGAAGAGAGCCATATTGCCATATCTCACCTCTTGTCATGTCTAAATCTTCAATTTCTCATTATTAAAAATGAGATCTATTTCTCACCAAATCTCAAGAGCCTTGACTTTATGATTGACATTCTCACTGAGCACAAGAGCACTTAAACAATTCCCCTTATTGCCAGTACTGGTAACCGAACCCAAGGCAGAGCAGAGCTGGCACTTGGAGCTGGCCGAATTTGTATTACCAACGGGCAGTCTTGAGCCCGATGCCTCCATGTAGGGAACACCGTATATGTGTCTCCGAGAGTAGCCAGGAGCCTGGCTAATTTCCTACCTTTAATTTTGTGTGTGCTCCAACGTCTATTCAAGGATGAGCATAAAAGAGTATTAAGACACTTGAGTGATTTGGTGGATTTTCTAGACCTAAGCTGCAATTCACTCTCAGAGATGTGACCTCACTAGAATTACTAGTGCATGGGTTTAAGCTCAGTGTCAGCTATAATGATTTGACGACATGTATATACGACAACCACTCATTATTTATCAGGACAGAAGTTAATGTGTGTATTTTACTGACGTGTCGAGTACCACACACCGAGTCCAAAGGTAGATGAAGACTTGAGGCACGTAAGTCCATTTCCTCACCTTGTTTATTAAGTAGCAGACTGCAATCCGTAATTTTATGCAAGGTAGGTAGGGACTTAATTGAAATACAGTGGTGTAAATGTAAAGTTTAGTGGGAGCCAGTCCAAGAACTTGTCAAATTATTTGCCACACGCCATGTAAGAACCCAAGGTGTTAGTCTAGGTTCCATTCAGTGAGTGTGCTGGATTATTCTGTCTGGTAATGGGCCAGGCACTAGGTGTCGTCAAGGACATCATATTGGTAAGTAGTCAGTGTCCAACATACTTGGTTTTGCATCCATATGTGGAGGAAATGATCACCAAGTCTGTTTGAGTCTGTGGGGAGGCTGGCGGAGTCTAGAGCTAGTTTTAATTAACAGTCATTTAAGTACACACATTAGAATTCCTCCACATCTTTGATCCTTTAGAGTTAGACAGAATGTTATTCTGAGTCAGTGTGGGTTTATGAACCAGTGTGTTCATGAACCTGTAGTGGGTTCAGGAAGTGGACCAACGAACCAGTGAATATCTTTGAAAATCACTGATAGTGTATAATGTGTAAATTAGGTAGTCTTTCATTCTTAATTGTTAGACATTTTTTTTTGTAACTGTATACAGTCGGTACCTGACCAGCCGGGCTGTGGTTCGTACGTTGGATTGCGTGCAGCTAGTAGTAACAGCCTGGTTGATCAGGCCCTGATCCACCATGAGGCCTGGTCACAGACAGGGCCGCGGGAGCGTTGACCCCCGGAACTCTCTCCAGGTAATACAGCACGTGTTCATTGTCCATTTGGCATAGGTTCAGAGTGTTCCATCTCTATGGGGCTGGGGTCCACTCCACTCCCCTAGTAATGGTCCTGTTGGCCACTTGAGAAAAAAAGGGGTCACCCCAACTCCCTGTGACTGTGTGAGAAAGGCCTGACACCCATGGTAATAGCTGCGTGGCCCTCAGCCGCAAGGCATTACACCACACCCACCCCGGGCGCAACCTGTGGGTGTGGTGACTATACTATATGGGCACCCTCACTTGGTTTATGTTTGTATACAGACCCTTCTGACCACCTGGGTACTCACTGACCACATCTTCTGCCCGGCAAATGTCAATGTAAGGGTTCGACTAATCACTCGCGTAATACCTGCTGGATAATAAATGTCATGCATGTCGATTGATTGTAGCACTGAAAGTGTTTAATACAGAAAATAACACCATACTTAATGGCAGTATGCCACTCAAAAAATACGACTCACAAACGTATTCAAAACCGGCATTATACAAAATATTACCATTGCTTGTGCTGACACACGCTGACGTTTCTCCCCCCCCCCCACACACACACATTAAAATTATACCCACATTCACCAATCTGAAGAATCATATTAATTCAACTTAAATTTAAGAACATATCCTGAACTCGTCAGTAACTTATGTAATAAGTATTAACAAACAATGGTGGTACATGAACACCAAAATCACAAAACATTAAATTATAAACTATTAACAAAAAGTGATTTTTTTTTATGTTTTATCAAAATCCATACATCAGATATAAAAAATTGAGAAAGCGTTACAAGTCTGCCGTCCAGACAACAATGATATTACATGCACACATCAGTATTGTGTGAAAACAAAACCTCTGTCCCACAATCCTAGGATACACAGCAAATAAGACATTATAATATCACCAAAACATAAAGGAGCTACCTAGTAAAACTAACCTATACCATGGTTACAAAAAAAATCCATGATATGTAAAAAAAATTCTGTCTGCGTAATACATCCACTTGAATAATTGTACTGCTTACAATAATGCATGGCATATATAGACAATAGAATTACAACTGACGTAAACCCCCCCCCCCCCGCCCCGGCAGGATCCCACTTAAACCCCACCAATTTATTCTCTTACTACTAAAATCTGCTATTCTACCGACCCAAACCTTGTAACGAAAATGGCATAGCCATATCATCAGAAAGGTATCAGAGGCATGTATATACAGAACTTGTACACAATAATGGACCACTCGGTAAGAAAACCGCATCATGTAATGTACAGCGCACAATATAGGAAAGAAGTAATTTTGAACAAACTGGTTCAGACCATTATCCACACAAAGCATCAATATAAGCATCTAGCTACACACCAGACCTGTAATTAAAACAAATCTACAGCACACTGTACGACTCGCAGGTCGCATTACATACATTGCTGTGACTTATGTACTTAGTAAAACCAGTATTAACAGGTGCTTACAGAATACATCTCATAAAATAATTGCATTACTAAACTCCAAACAATGCACGCTATATGCAACTAACACCAGCCTGGGATATTAAAATTCACAAAAAAAAAAAAAAAACATTAACCACGGCGCAGCCTCTATTGATGACTTAGCAGTGCAGCATAACTCAGCATTGAGAAAACCATACCGTGGTTCTGAGTACCCCCCCCCTTTCTCAGACTGACACTCATTCACGCCAGCAAGACACTATGCCCCAGACCACACAAAGGTCCCCTCACCACTACATTACACCCCGATCACCATACACACCAAATAAAACGTATAGTCAGACACCAAAAAAACCTAACTCTTCCCTCCCTCCTCCACCCAGGAGACCAACCCCTTGGCTCCACCGAGGAATTATGTATGTGCGGCCAGCAGTAACAGCCTAGTTGATCAGGCCCTGATCCATCGGGAGGCCTGGTCGTGGACCGGGCCGCGGGGGCGTTGATCCCCGGAATAACCTCCAGGTAACCTCCAGGTAACCTCCCTCCTCCACCCAGGAGACCAACCCCTTGGCTTCACCGAGGAATTATACCTACCTACACCTCAGTACTCCTGTAACGTTTCCATCGTTAGATTCCTATACCCCAACGAAAAAGCTCCCTCCCAGCATTGCCCATACACCTCTATTCCTACATTTCGTTAAGTGTTATTGATGTATTCTGCATTCCGCAGGTAGAGAAGGACCTGGGGGCACGTAAGTCCATTTCCTCATTCAGTAAATTACATTCCATAATCTTGTGCAGGGTTGGTAAGGACTAATTAATTGAACTAGAGAAGTGTAGACGTAAAACCATACCACGGGCGGGATTTGAACCCGCGGTCAGAGAGTTTGTTTGCAATCGTGTCATTACGATTTCGTTAGTCATATATACGTAAAGCTTGGTGGGAGTCAGTCCAAGAGCTGGTCACAGTGTCATTCGCCACACGTCATGTAAGCAGCCAGGTGTTAGTGTTCGCTCCATTTAGTGACTATGTGTGCTGGATTATTCTGCCTGGTAATGGACCAGGCACCAAGTATCAAGGACATCATATTGGTAAGTAATTAGTGTCCAGTACACTTGTTTTGACAGCCACATGCCGAGGAAATGATCATTATTAGAGTTTGTGGGGAGGCTGGCGAATTCTAGGCAATACTGCTGAAGGGCACACACGTAAGAATTCCTGCACAAATGTTTCAGGTACAGTGGTGGTGGTTGTGTACCTGGGAGAGGTGTGGTCGGTATCCACTGTTGGTGACGACCATCACAGAGCCCTCATAAACACTCTCCTCGCCACGTTGGCATCTCTCACCCTCGCCTTCCCAGCCTCATCCCTCGCACATACTCGCAGGAAGTTCTCACTGGTGAGACAGAGACACAAGTATACTTTTCAAAGTCATCGCTAAATTACCGATCATTCATTCATTCAATGCATAACCATTTTGAACAGGTTATTACGATGTACAGACATCTGGAATAGTTTCTTAAATACGATTATAAAAAATGAAAGCTTGTTTTTGCATTATTAAGAAATTTTTGAGCAGATTCTAGAATGTAAATGTTACAGACACTCGTAAAACTAATCTTATTTCACAATGTAAATTGAATACAGTACAATAATGAATTATTATTACAGCGTGATAATGATGGTTCAGGTTCAGCTGAAATGATCCCATTTTGATTCCTAATGATTTCTATATTACACATTGGGATTGTATGAAGGAGTGTCTGGTCTGGTTGTTTAACTGTATGAAGGAAAGGGAGTGTTGGGGAATCGCAGGGCACGGGGGTAGTAGTTTTGGTCTATAAGGGGAGGGGGGGGTAAGACCTTGGGTGCTTTTAGGGCGATCTCCCTCATGTGTGCAGATTATAAAGTTTTTGCGAACGTTTTAGGCAACCGTATGAAAAAGGTGCTTGACCGAGTCCTACATCGAGGACAGTGTGGGATTCCAGGTCGAAGTATGCGTGAGGGGCATGGAAGAATTAAGGATTTTGTGGAGGGTAGACAACGGGGGGGGGATCTTGGGGATTGATTGGAAGCAGGCTTATGACAGTGTAGATAGACATATGTTGTGGTGTATTTTAAAAAAACAGGGTTTTGGTGATGAGTTTTGTGCGCTGGGCTACTACTTTGTATCGCCTGCAACGGTCAGGGTACAGGTTAATGGGAAGTTAGGGTTGCCGGTGCAGATGGGGATGGGTTTGCGACAGGGTTGCCCCTTGTCTCAAATCCTCTTTGCATGCATGCAGGACCCTTTTTATAGGCTTATAGAGGAAGGAGTGTGGGAACAGGGAGAGGTGGGTCCTGGGAGATGTGGTATTGTGGGGTATGTGGATGACACCACAGTTTTGGTAGGAGGGGAAATAGGATTGGGAAATGTGGGACGTATAATAGAGATTTTTGGTGGGGCGACAGGGATGAGGGTTAATGGAGCAAAGTCAAAGTTATTAGAAGTAGGCACGTGGGTGGGGGGGGGGGTTTGGGGGAGCAGTATGGGTGGAACGTAGTGGATAGAATTAAGATATGTGGGGTTGTGTATATGGCGGACGCTGGGGAGGCACAGAGAATAAATTCCAAGGAAGTAGTGAGTAGAGCGATGGGTAGGATGGGGCGGGTGGAGGGCTGGGGATGTAACATTGCAGAGAGGGTGGTGGTAGTAAATACACTTGTGTACAGTAAAGTGTGGGGCGTGGCAGAAATATATCCCCTGAGGTCCTGTGATATTCAGGAACTGGAGAGGGTGGTTTTGAGGTATGTGTGGGGTTATGGGAAGCCATGGCTACGGAAGGAGGTGGTGATGATGGGCGTGCGGCAGGGTGGGCTGGGTCTTATACCTTAGGACACACGAGTGAAGGCAGTGTATGTGAAGCAGCGGTACTTGAGGGTGGGAGGGGAGAGGGGTAGAAGGGTGGGAGAGGTCATGAAGGATGTGCGAAAATGGTGGAAGGGAAAGGCACTACTGGAGTGTGAAGATATGGTGCGAAATTTGTTGGCAGTAAGGGAAGCAAAAAAAGTAAGGGTAAGTAGGCTTGGGAGGACAGGTTGGCAGGGTACAGTGATACAGGGAGTAGCTACATACCCAATGTATGATTGGAGGGGCATTTGGGAAGACTTTCGGAAGATCAGATTAAAGCCAAGGGTTCGTGAAGTGGTTTATAGATTCTTTATGGGAATTCTAGCTACAAGGTCAGTGCTATATAGAATGGGTTATGTAGGTGCTGGCACTTGTTTGCATTGTGAGGAAGAGGAGACGGCTTTTCATTCCATATATTTTTGTGAAAACTTGGGTTTTGTAAGGGCATGGTTAGCGAGTTCTGGGTATAGTGGCGGGAGGGGGGAGAAACATTTCGACTTTGAGGGCTTTGCATTTTGATGTGGGAGGGGTTTCCAAGGACATTCGGAGGGCAGTGGTGTATGTAGTGGCAGATTTTTTGTATGTGTCTTAGTGCATGCGGGAGGTGGGGGGTGAATATAGGGTGCGGGCGCTTGCGGCGAGTGTGTATCGTACAGTATGCAGAAATAGGTACTATATGGGAGGTTGTGGGTAAATAGTTTTCCTTTGGGTTATCGTAATCTGACGGTAGGTGTAATGTTAGGGTTGGGTGTAGTTTAGAGCTGGATTGGGCTGGTTCTCCCTAAACTGGCATTCTTGTTCTTTTTTGGAGATTAGGGAGGATGGAAGGTGGAATAAAGTGTGGTAGTGGAGCATATGGTGTAAAGTCGTTAGGAATGAGGGGGGGGGGCCGTTTAGGGGGGGTGAACTGGTGCATTTGGTTTAAGAGACAGGGTTTTATAAATTTCGACGTCAGGTACGAACTTGAGCATGGAAGGGAACGTGAGCTTGTGTTTTTTTAATACAGATGCATGGGTCAGGGGATGGCAGGGGGGGCTTTCTGAAGTGTCTTTTGCCAGGATGGTTTTGTTAATGATTGAGGTAGTACTGCCCGGTACATTTTTTATTAGGAGCCATAAGTTATATTGTGTAACTTAGTGCGTGACAGAGAAAGTCTGATAATGCTCTGGAACATTTTTTAATAAATATTATATCTTGTTGAACTGATAATACATAAAAAAGGGGAATATGTATTAGTGAGTGAGTTACAATTTCTAGTGTACTGTTACCATTTTAGTTGGTATTCTTCACTTTTTTCAAATAATTACTATCTATATATTGTTATAAGTTTTTTATTTAGTTCTTATTTTTTTACGTTTTAAGTGAACAAATGTAAGGTGTTGTGCCCTCTAGGCAAGGGGCATTTATCTTGCACTGGGGAAAAGGGGAAGTGTAAAGTAAATATGATTGGATCATAACAAAATGTCATTGGATATATGTACACTGTATTTAGAAGACGGGAAGGTTTGGGTGAGGATTGTCAATATATGTATTAATTTTTTATGTAAATTTCATGGAACTCAGGGTGATAATAATTACACCTATTAGTCGGATGATAAGTATTTTTTTTTTTTTTTTTTTTTATTTAAAATAAAATACTTAGCTTAACATAAAAACCCTTAAACTAGGGTTGATACACATTGTATATAAACACATTTTGAAAACAATCTCTCAGAACGTACAATAGCAAATAAACACAATATTAACAAACACAAGAGGTTACACAATTATACTAGAAAAAATCGCTTGTGACAAAACATAACATTAAGAAGATGGGCAATCTTAACCCTATGTACACAAGAACAACAACAAGAACATAACATGTAGGTGACCCCTGTAGCAGTTCAATAATATAAATAAAACCATAATCCCTTCGGGTATACACTATTACATAATATCTGGGACATTGCCAATGCACAATACAATACAATAAGAAGAATAGTATGATAAATATATAAAATATCGGTTACTCACAACCAACAAATAATCGATAACCGAAAGAACCTACATCACAATCTCATGTTTAAAACAAAGTACATACTCGCCTTACAAAAGTCTTACGAGTCACCACAAAACTAGAAAAAGCCATAATCATTCCGCACCCCTCTACAGGCTATACACATTATATAACATAGAAAATAAAATGCTCGGTTACAAACACCAAAACCCCCGTTTGCCAGGCCATACCCGAAAGGTACATCAATACTTCAACAAAGAAAGAAGGCAGTAGACTCTGACTTAAGACATCTATAACACATATAACTTCACCACCACATCCACTCACACAACCCACATTTTCCTCAACCACGCATTCCCACAGAATACACACAGTAAACCACCGTTGTGCATACCCAACCCGGAGAAAAGCCTTCCATCCCCTGAAATTCACTCCCCCCCCCCTTTCACAACTTTAAAACAATGCTCTCACACTCATACTACGGTACCCTGCTGAAAAAGCCTGGTCCCAGCGACTTCTATATTTTTCCCCGATTATAACACAAACGTTCTATAAATGGTCCCCGCCAACACCCTTTTGCGCACCTCCCAATCCCCATTCCTTCTCATTGCCCAGGATACAAAAACAAAATCCGCAATTAATACGTGATTGCACGTTGCACAGGCGCCTCGACGCCCCCCACGTCCAAATTTAACGCCCTCAATACTAATATCCCGCCCCTCCCTGTCCTCAGAACCTTACCCATCCATTCCCTGATACTCCCCCAAATTATCACAAAAATACACTACATGAAACGCAGTCTCCTCATCCCCGCACACCCGACACGCCCCCCCTCCACCATCAACCCTCTTTTCCTTAAGTGCAGCACCCGACGGCAGTATACCATGGAGAAAACGGAAAAAATACCTCTCGCACATTTGGACGCACGGCTTCAACCGTAATCTTTCCCATATATCCTTCCACGCATACATAGGGTAGATACTCTCAGCCTTCACGACTACCTTCGCCCTTACAACACGCTCCAAAACACCTACTCGAACTTTATAGGTCCCGTACATGCGCAACGCCCGCAACACGTCTTCACACCCCTTTCATCCCCGACCCTCCCCACCACATTCGCACCTCTTCATGCAAGCCATTCACGCCCCTCCCTGCATGACCGCGCACACGGCGTAACCCCCACTTCAAATAAATGCACTTGACTCTTAACGTAAATCAATAAAACCCCAAATCCTCCTCTGTTGACCGGTAAAAGTAACCACACTCCTACTCAACCATTCACCCCGGAACCCCAAAGAAAATGGAAAACCCTCTTTAACAGCCTCGTAACATCGGCCCTGCTAACGGATATACCGCAGCCACGTGCCAGACTTTACTGTTAAACAACACATTCACAACAATCGCACGCTGATGTACTGTCAAATGATTTTGGTCTAAACCCCATCCAATCGCCCCACCACTCGATCCACAACAAGTCCAGAATTAACCATCCTCGCCTCTCTCGCATACGCAT